AGCTCCTGGCTCCTGGCTTCAGATGGGTGCAGCTCCGGCCACTGCAGCCAACTGGGGGCTGAACCAGCGGATGGAAGACCTTTATCTTGCTCGCTGTCTCTCTCTCTGCCTCTCCTTCTCTCCCTGTAACTCTGACTTTCAAATAAATAAATAAATCTTAGAAACAAAACAAAATAAAAAAACTGCATATGACCACTTTCCAGAAGTGGGCACTGAAGTGCAGAGAAGAAGCAAATCATCCTATTCATCACAGAACAAACCCATTTTAAACGAATGTGCAGTCTTGCTCTGAGACTTCGACAGTTTTCAGCTAGTAAATGAAAGAACCAGGGGCGGCGCCGGCACACCGTGTTCTAGTTCCGGTCGGGGCGCCGGATTCTGTCCCGGTTGCCCCTCTTCCAGGCCAGCTCTCTGCTGTGGCCCGGGAGTGCAGTGGAGGATGGCCCAAGTACTTGGGCCCTGCACCCCATGGGAGACCAGGAGAAGTACCTAGCTCCTGGCTTCGGATCAGCGTGGTGCGCCGGCCACAGCACGCCAGCCACAGCAGCCATTGGAGGGTGAACCAATGGTAAAGGAAGACCTTTCTCTCTGTCTCTCTCCCTTACTGTCCACTCTGCCTGTCAAGTGAGACGCTATAAAAAAAAAAAAAAAAGAAAGAAAGAACCAGGATTGCCCCCTACATGCCTTAGACCTGAAGCTGACACTCTTCCACATTTTTCTCTCAGTTACCAGATCACATCAGATTCTAGATCTCTGCGGGGCGGCGGGGAGAGGGGGGAGATCCTGTGGTCACAAAGGCCACCTCCTGCTCCTCTCCCTTCCATGCAGCGGTCAAGTCCTGCCTGTCCTTCCTGTGTCATTTGCTTGAATATCTCCAGAGACAAGGGCCTCCTGCTCTGCCCAGACATCCCGGGCATTTTGACATGAGCATTGGGAGACTTTTAGCCTTTGTGTTGTGTCCCAGAGAATGTGGCCCCCTGCTTCCAGCGCTTTCTCTGGGCCTCTGCTGGCCCTTCCTCCACTGGGCATGAACTCTGGCTACGGGGACAATCTGGGGTGAAGTCCACCAGGGACTTAAAGGAGTGTTCTCTGTACGGAAAACATCATGGGCCAGGCCTGTGCTAATTGGCTGCATTTGAACTACAACAACATTCAAACCCAGCACGACAATTAAAGCTGAAAATGATCAGCCAGGATTAAAAGGATTCAAAGGGTAATTACTTCATAACAAGGCACATTGCTCCAAGTAGCAGGAAGGGTTGACGGAACTGGAATTAATTACATTGGAATACTTGTTTATTTTTATGGCGTCTTTTAAAATCACTTGGAGGTGGCCAACTTGTTAGTGCCTTTTTCCAAATACTCTCGGGTTTGGTTAACTGCTGTGGATTTGTCTGCCAACTACAATTATTCTCATTCTTGGAGACTAGGAAGGCATAAAGTCTGTCTTGCCCTTTATCAGTGTGATAAATGCTTTTATTGTTCTTGTAGTAATGGTGGCTAAATTTGTATAGTGCTTGTAACATTTTCAAAACACTTTCCTATCCGAATCTCAGTTTGTCTTCACAACCAGCCCATGAGACAGGGTTGGAGTTCCCACTGGGAGAAGACTAAGGCAAAGAGAAGGGTGCTGCCCACCAGAAGAATCCTTGTGTTCACACTGGAATCCAGAGTGCCTGCCTCTCACCTGGACTGTTTGTTCAGCTGGATTAGAGGGAAGCATCTTGTTTGTTAATTAGGCAGCACTGAACACGGCTGACACCAAGTGTAAAAGCCATTATTGGGGTTTAAGCGGAAGTTGAGCCTCATTAATGAATTAGCCGTTTGAACTGAAAAAAGTGAAAGAGATCGCTGGCCAGATAGGAAAGCTGCCTTCTGAAATGAGGTTAGTGTAATAAGGCTGTAAGAATGAACTTTGCTTTGTAGGCTGTAGCCTCAGGCTACCTTCTGCCTCTTCCCTTTCATGGTTCTGCCTCTGTGCAGGGCTAGTATTCCTCCTGTCTTTTGTATGGTGGATCCAACAGTGGCCTTCACCAGTGTCACGGTGAAGGTCAAATGAAATGTTACCTGTGCTAGAGCCAGACAAGGGTGAGATTCGCTGGTCGCTGGCAATTTTCCATCTGATGTCCTTACATTAACTGACTGTGGAATAATAACCAAAAGACCAGGTACCTTTGCAGCTTGTTTCAGGACTTCACTCCTTGTGCATTTAAAATGTGTGTGTAAAGGGCTGTTTCCCCAGTTTAACTGAACAAGAGAGTTCCTAGGATTTCAAAATACAAGAATGATAGGCAGATGAGATCTTTTTCTACATAAACACGAGGCGAATTAACGACCTGAAACCAAACAGAACCTAAGAGATGCGCCTTCCAGTTCTAACACAATTTCCAGGCCATCCAGGCTGGCCTGCCCTAATATTTGTTCTGTGGCTGGAGTTTTTAAACAGTAACCACTTCTGAATGTCACAGGATATAGGAAAGGCACTTGCAGTCTATTGCCATACCATGCCACACCCTGAACGGGTCCACTCTCTTATGATCTCGGAAGCTAAGCAGCATTGGTCCTGGTCAACTTGGGTGGGAGAAAGGGCACTTCTAGATTTTGCACTTTTTGGCAATACACTGTGTATGAATCCTTACCAGGTAGAAATATTGTACTAAGCATCATGTAGCATGTAAAAAAAAATAGCACTTGGCTTATGTCTAAAATCAACATAAAAAATCAGTTGCATTTCCATACAGAAACAATGAACCATCCAGAAAAGGAATCGAGAAACCAATCAATGAATCCCATTTATAATAGCTACAAAAAATTAAACCAAACTGAAACACAGACTTCAGAATAAGTTTAATCAGGGAAATGAAAGACCAGTGAATTGAATACTATAAAAGTTTGGTGAAAGAAATTGAAGAGGATACAGATGAATGGAAAGACTTTTGTTTTTAAAGATTTATTTATTTATTTGAGAGACAGAGAGAGAGAGAGAGATCATCCATCCACTGGTTCACTCCCCAGATGGTCACAATGGTCATCGCTGAGCCAGGCTGAAGCCAAGAGCAAGAGCTTTATCTGGGTGTCCCATGTGGGTAACAGGGATCTGAGCACTTGGAACATCTTCCACTGCTTTCCCCAGGCCATTAGCAGGGACCTGGATGGTAGATGAGACATGGAATTAGCCAATAGAAGATCTCTCTCTCTCTCCCTCTCTCTCTCTCTGTGTCTCTGTAATTCTGACTTTCAAGTAAATAAATAAATCTTAAAAAATGAAAGAAAAAATAGTAAAAAAAATCATGCATTTATAGCGAACTCATTTTTTTTTTGACAGGCAGAGTGGACAGTGAGAGAGAGAGAGAGAGACAGAGAGAAAGGTCTTCCTTTACTGTTGGTTCATCCTCCAATGGCTGCTGCAGCCGGTGCACCACGCTGATCCAAAGCCAGGAGCCAGGTACTTCCTCCTGGTCTCCCATGTGGGTGCAGGACCCAAGCACTTGGGCCATCCTCCACTGCACTCCCGGGCCACAGTAGAGAGCTGGACTGGAAGAGGGGTAACCGGGACAGAATCCAGTGCCCTGACCAGGACTAGAACCCCGGGATGCTGGCGCCGCAGGTGGAGGATTAGCCTATTGAGCCACGGTGCTGGGTGTGAACTCATTTTTAACAAAGGTGCCAAGAACATGCAATGGGGAAAGGACAATCTCTTCAGTAAATACTGTTGGGAGAATTGGATATCCACATTCAAAAGAATGAAATTGAAACCTGACCTCACACATGAAAACATGAAGTGTAAAACTACTAGAAGAAAACCAAGGGGAACAGCTCAATGGCATTGGTCTGGCAATGGCAGTGCTTTTTGTAGAGTTGAAGCCACAAAGCACAGCTAACAAAAGCAAAAATAAACAAATTAGATTGCATCAAACTTAAAAGCACCTGCATAGTCATAGGAAATATATTTGCAACCATATATCTGATAAAGGGTTAATATCCAAATTATTTTAGAAACTTAAGTAATTCAAAATTGAGAGAAAAAACCTAGAGTGTGGACATGTAGTGGTTAAGATTCTACTTTGATGTCCACATCCCATATTAGAGTGCCTGAGTTCCAGTTAACAATTCTAGCTCTCTGTTGCTGTACACCTGGGGGACGGCAGTAGGTGATGGCTAAAGTACTTGCGTACCTGCCACTCCTGCGGGAGACCTTGACTGAGTCACTGTGTCTTGGTTTTGGCCTGGCCCAGTGTCAGCTGTTATGGGCCTTTAGGTAGTGTACCAGTGGATGGAAGGTCTTTATCTTTCTATCTCTCTCTCCTTCAGTGTCTCTATCTCTATATTTCTCTGCCTTTCAGATAAATAAAAATTTTTTTAAAAAAGGAAAAAAACTGATCTAAAAATCTGAAAATTTGCAAAGCATTTCTCAAAAGAGGACACACGAAGGGCCAACAGGAATGCGTAAAAATGCCCAGCATCACTAATGCTGCTAGAAATGGGCAGTGAAAAATGCAGTGAGCTATCACCTCACACCTGTTAAAATAGCCTCTGCCAGAGAGATAAGAGAGAACAATGTCAGTGGGCATGTGGAGAGAAGGAAGCCCTTGTACACTGCTGGTGGAAATGTATTTTGTATAGCAATTATGGGAAGCAGTAGGGAGACTCTTCAAAAATAAAAAACAGAGCAGCCATATGGTCCAGCAATCCCACTTCTGGGTATCTATCCAAAGGCAATGAAATCAGTATGTTGAAGAGACATCTGTACTCCCAGATTCACTGCAGGACTTATCATAGTAGCCAAGATGATGAATGGATGAAGAGGATGTGATACACACACACACACACACACACACACACACACAATGGAATACTATTCAGCTTTCAAAAAGAATGAAGTCCTGTCACTTGCAACCACCTGGATAAACCTGGAGGATATTATGTTAAGTAAAATAAGGCTATGAGACTTAGGCTGTGAGAGGAGGTTTACATTTCACAAATTTATTTGAATTCCCTAGACCTGGCATCAGAGACACCAGAGTTACAGCTTAATTTCCTAGAGCCTGACTTCAGATGACAACTCCCAGAGGACGCCTTTGCTTTCAGAAAATCTGGCTTTGGGCTGAAAAATTCAGACTGGCATTCAACTGCCCGGATTTAGCACCACCTGTAAGTAGATGCTGCCCTTATTTCCAAATGTTTTTACAATGTAGATAAACCTGTATACTCATCTTGTGCACACTTCTGGGAGTGTCTCTGGGGATGTACGTCTCAGAGAGGACTTTCCAGCTGGTGGGTTTGCACACCTTTAGGCAAACTAGGTGTTGCCCAAAGGCTCCCAGACTTGCTACAATAATTTATACTCTTTTCAGAATCTATAAGAATTCTGTTTCTCCATGCCATGGGACTCCAAATCCCATTAAGTTGGCAGGTACCAATGCCATTTTACTAGTTAAAGTGATCAGCTTCAGTTCATAATTGATCATAATGATAGGATTAAGTGTCAAAAAAAGGGATCACATAAATAAGACCAGTGACTGCTGATAATAATTGATAGAATTAAAAAGGAGAGAACAATTCAACATGGGAAGCAGGATACACAGAAGACTCATAGAATGGCAGATATCCTAAACAGCACTCTGGCCTCAGAATCAGCCCTTAAGGCATTCAGATCCAGCTGAAAAGCCCATGAGAGTTTTTCAGGCTTGGAAAGCCAAGTCACTGTGGCAAAAAGTGACCTAAATGAAAAATCTCCATGAGTGAGATCCCAGTGGAAAGAATAGGCCATCAAAGAAGGAGGTACCTTTCTCTGAAGGGAAGAGAGAACTTCCACTTTGACTATGACCTTGTCTAAATAAGATCGGAGTTGGCGAACTCAAGAAGCTTCTATAGCCTTGGCAGCTCATGACAAGAGCCTCGGGTGATTACTAACGTCATAAAGAAGAGTGTTAGTTAAATCAACAATGGGAGTCACTGTGCACTTACTCCTCATGTAGGATCTCTGTCCTTAATGTGTTGTTCTATGAGAATTAATGGTAAAAGTAGTATTCAAACAGTACTCTATACTTTGTGTGTCTGTGTAGGTGCAATCTGTTGAAATCTTTACTTAGTATATACTAGATTGATCTTCTGTATATAAAGATAATTGAAAATGAATCTAATGAAGAATGGGATGGGGGATGGAGTAGGAGATGGGATGGTTTGCAAGTGGTGAGAGGGAGGTTATGGGGGGAAAACTTCCATAATCCAAAAGTTGTACTTTCGAAATTTATATTTATTAAATAAAAGTTTTCTAAAAATTCTGTTCTCCTCGATCCGTCTACTCTTACTATTGTAGAACTTTAAAATGTTTTCAAGTCTAATGATGTGAAATGATATAATAAAATAAGAATTGGAATAGGAGAGGGAATGAGAATAGGAAGACAGGCAGGATGTTCCTAAAGTTGTATTTATGAAATACACGAAATTTGTATACCTTAAATAAAAGGTTTCTGGGTGAAAAAAAGAAGTGATGTATTGTTATTGTTTTAATTTCTGTTTTCCTGATTATTAATAAGGGTAAAAAGCTCAAAAAACTTTATATTTGAGTTCACCAATTGTCTTTCCACTTTTCCCACACATTTTTATTGAGCTCTGTAACATTTTCTTTTGGTTTTCTAGGAAATCTTTATATATATATACATATATATATATATGTATGTATGTTTCTCTACATGTATATGCATGATTATATATTCTGGATTATTTATGTGAGTACTTCAAAAAGTTCATGGAAAATCTAATAAAGGTTAAGCTTATTTTGGTGCAAAATTTTCTGATATCCATGCAGTTTTCTGATAACATACATTTTCCATTTTGAAGGCCTTTGAATGCTATACATGGGTTTCAAGGATTTTTGCTAACAGAGTAAACTTACATTTTAATTAATTAATTCATTTGAGAGACAGAGAGACAGAGTAGAGAGACAAGTAGACAAGAGACAAGTAGAGAGATTCCACTCAGTAGTTCACTTCCTAAATGCCCACAATGGCCAGGGCTGGGCCAGGCTGAATCTGGGGGACAGGGACTCAATTCATCTCTTCCAGGTGAGTAGAAGTGATCCAACTACTTGAACCATTACTTCTTTTTCCCAGGGTCTGCATTAGCAGGTAGTTGGAGTCAGAGCCAGAGCTGGGCGTGAAACTCATGTGCTCTGATGTGGAATGCAGGTGTCTTAACTGCTGGGCTAACCCTCACCTTAAGCTTATCTTTTAGTTCCATTTTCCATGAACCTTTTGAAGTATCTTGGTTTATTGTGTTCATTATATATATTGCAATTTTTTTATCATATATGTGTTATCTTTTCATGTAGTTTATGGTATCTTTGTGGGAGATTATTATATTTAATGGACTCAAGTTTACCATCTCCTTTATAGTTCCAATATAGTGTGATTCATACCACTGGATACTATGTGCCTCTAATAACCAGGAATCAGAGAGAATAATGGGGGCAGGAGTATGTGGAGGGCAATGTCAAGGAGAATTCTAGTAGGAGTTTTCTTGGAAGGGTTAGCTTTGAGTTTTTATTTTCAACCTTTTATTTTGAAATAATTGTAGGCTTATAGCAAGTTACAAACAAATGTATGGAGAGATCTTGTGTCCTCAACACAATGTTTCCACCAGTGGTAACACCTGGCATGGCTATAACACAACATTATCCAAACCAGGGAGTTAATAGTAGGTCATTCCAGAGTTCCTTAGGATTCACCAGTTCAACTTGTCCTTGTGTGTGTGTGTCTGTTTCAGTCTATGTAATTTTATTACATACTTAGATTCTGTTAGTCAACCATCAAGAGACAGAGCCCCATCCCCACGAGTTCCCCCTTGCTGGCCTTTTGTAACCCTTCGTTTTGTTTTGAAACACCTTGAAGACTGTCAAGGAAACCCATGTTATGTTTCTTTGAATGGCTTCACAAATTACCTGAGTTTGATACCAAGCATTGGTACCTGACTTCAGCTTCCTGCCAATGCAGATTCTGGGAGGCAGTGGTGATGGCTTGAATAGTTGGGTCTTTGCCATCCATGTGGGAGACCTGGATTGGATTCCCAGCTATTAGTTTTAACTCTAGCCAAGTCACAGCTGTTGTAGGCATTTGGGGAAGTGAACCAGGGCTGGGAGCTCTTTCTCTGTTGATGTGTCTGTCTCTCAAATAAATACATAAAAGATGAAAAAAAGTACATTTATTACATAATTTCTTAATTTACAGTCATCCTTTAGTATCTGAAGAGGATTGGTTCCAGGAACCCTCCAATACCCAAATCTCCAGATATTCAAGTCCCCTCTATGAAATGGCACAGTGTCTACATATAACCTATGTTCACCCTTCCAGAGACTTTAAATCATCCCTTGGTTACTAATGTAACATAAATAGTTCTTAGAATGTGTTTTTTGGGGAACAACAAGCAAAAGGTCTACGTGTCCTGTACAGATGCCACTTTCCCCTGAGTGTTTTCTGTCTGCAGTTGGTTGAATCACAGTGGTGGACCTCTGGAGAGCTGCCTGTGTGTGCAGCATGTGCAGTTCACACCGTGGGGTGAGCGCAGGTTCTGGAGTCTGGTGCCCCTTGGTCTGCCACATAGCACAGCTCTGCCAGCTGGGCGACCTTGAGTCACCTCTGCACGCCTGAAGAAGCCTGAGTGTGTGACAGTCTTACAGTACTGGGCAGCGTGGTTGTCTGGGACCAGCAATGCTTTGTGAGTGGTAGTCACTATCTTTGAAGTTTTCTCCTCTGACACCAACCTCATTAACCTGATTTTCTTCCACGTGAATAGAAATCATGGGTCTCCCGGTCCCCACTTGTCATCGTAGCTGATGGAGCATCTGATTTGGGAAGCTCTTTATTTTATTTTTGGCTTCCTCCTCCACTGTGCTCTCAGCAGGAGGGATAACTGCAGTGGGGGGGGGGGCTCATAAGCGCATTAGCTGGGGTCTCAATTCCCTACTCTTTGCATCTCACACATTTTTTGTGTGTTCTGCAACTTGCTGGGAAGCAGTGGCCTTTGCTGTCTTTCTGGGCAAATCCTCCCTGTGCCAGCATGAACGTGCGGGGTACCCTTTTAAGAGCAAAACCACCACAGATGCCCGTGGCTCTTGATCTGAGCTGGGAGAGCTGAGTGCATCCTTCCTGGGAGAGCAGCTATTCTGGGAAACAAACGCTCCAGGCATCTCATTAGCATAATCTCAGGAATTAATGGCTTGATTGATGTTCCACGTTTCCCCGCAGTTTTCCATAAATGATAATGTATTAAAACGAGATGGAGGAAAGAAAACATGACACGACATATATTATTTAGGTGTTTGCAGAGAGGCTGACACACAAACACACACAATTTATCAGCAGTCATTTTTTTTGCATGGTCTTGTGAGCCCCAAGTCTCCAAGATGTGGAATTAATTTCATAGCAGGTGATTCTAGACTATTTCACATGGGCCATCTGTCGCTTCTTCATTTACCTCTCTGCTGTTACAATAATTAATCATTTCAGGGACTGGCTTGGCCCAGCAAAGTCTACTCTGGCTGAGAGGTATATGCAAGTGGATAACACTGGCTTATTTGCTTTAAAGTGGTTTGTTTCTATGAAGCAAGTAAGTTCCTATTTTTTTCTTACTCATGTTCATCTAACTCCAGTGGCTCAAGAGCTGGGGCTGCTATGTAGCCTGGCAGGCTGTTGTTGCTGGAAATTCTTTACATCCTTCATTTACAGTTGAAGAAACCAAGTTCAGAGAGGTTCTTTGAGTAGTCTGGGTCCACACAGCGTATCTGAGATAACCGGGCCTCTCAGCTTCCATACCTCCATCCTTCTGTCCCTTTCGGAAATGGCTCTTCCACAGGAGAAATGGAATCTTACCAGATTCTGAGGAGACAGTCCTAGAACTCTAGATGGTATGTCAGTTTGGGACATCTGGGCACCCTGAAATGAAGTGCTGCAAGTCAGTGATTTAATCATTCTGGAAATCAACAGTCAGGGCAAGGGCTGATCAAGTCACTGTTTCTATCAAAGTAGAGCTAGCTCCAACATAAAATGAATGCCAGAATAAATAAATAAATGCAAGTAATTGGCCTACCATGCTTGACAAAACAATGGGAGAGAGGAAGCATCAGGCTGTTTCTGTGACCGAGGCACATTCAT